TAGACTGTAAGGAAAATTCATTCATCAATATATCATACGACCCTTGATTTTCAAGGCGCCGGAGCACCATCCTTGTTATTCACTTACTCACCCCATATATCATACGACCGTCGCTCCCTGAGCAGCGCGCCGGAGCACCGCCCAAAACCCACCAACACTACCACTCAACGGCCTTGTAGTTCAGGCTGTGAACCTAACAGCCGAGACTAGTTCCTCTCTCGGCTACAATCGTTTGATTAGAAGACGAGTTCAAACAGGCGCATCACTTAACCATTCTATCCACATCAACCATCTCGACGCACGGTAGACCGTGCTGGCACGCCCGCGCACAACCGCACCGCATCCAAAAGCAGGAAGCCACGTGTTAACGCACATCCCCTCGGCCCGGAACCCCAGGCCGTGAGATCTGCGCACGCGAACACTTTTGGCACGCCCGGTGGGATACTTGTCAAAAACTTATGGTGGAAACTAGGGCACAGGCAAAGCTCAAAAACAAAGCAGTCGAAATCCATGCTCAGGAGGATTTTAATATGCAACTGCCAGCTAATGAGCCTTGTGTTGCACACCTCCCTTGAGCCAAGTGCCCTCACCTCAGTTGTACCTGACTTTAGACCTAACATGTTGAGCAAATTAGGGAGTCATTTCAGCATTGGAAGTCTCAAGGAGCAAAACAAGGCATGCTTAATTATAGGGAAACATGTTGGCACAAATCAAGGAGCGGTTTCCAGGATTTCTGGTGGGCTGTCTACACCAGCTAAGGGGAGGACGAATAGGCAGTCTATAAATAGAGAGTTGCAGCTCATTCACAAAAGGGTTAGACACATACATTCACTTCATCCATTACTCTCATACACACATTCATATTCACCACAAAGAGATAAGAGAGCTAGCTGCAAAGGAGGGAGAGCTTGGAGCTGTCCTGGGAACTACCTTGCTACCACCAACTAGTTCTTCTATTCTCTTTATTCTATCTATGTATTTCTTATTTTCTGTATTCATAGTTATGTTTAACTAATTCATTTAGTTAGGGCTTAGGATGAAGCCCTAGTCATGAATATTCAATGTTATGGATGATTTCATAGTTAATTGATTTCCTTGCTTTCATTGCCAAGTTGTTAATCTCCAGTTTATTATGTCCTTGATGTATGTTTTCTTGGAGTAACTAACTAGGATTTTATGCATCTAGCACAGGTTGGGAAGGGCTTTAGATTCACCAATTCTACTCTCCTTTCACAAGCAACATATGAATGGCCTAAGAATCATTCAAGGGGTTAATAACCATAGGTTGACTAGGACAGATACCATGTTCTAGGACTTGTGTGATTATCATATTCTCAGGGAACTTAATGACTCTTGTATGCTTTATTCTAAGTAGACACCATGCTTAGGTTGCATATGATCACGTGTTGTGTAGATACCATGCACAATCACATGCCTTAGGAGAATCATGCATCCTGCACCTAGATACCATAGGCTTGTATGCGATAATCTATTGTTGATGAAGCTTGAGTCACTTTCTATGCATTCATAACTTGGATAGGAAAACTAGTGGTGGATTCCAAGGCTCTAACACCTTTCAATCATTGTTTCACAACTTGTTCATTGCTGCCATTGTTTACCTTCCAGCACTTCCATTTCATTCTCTTATTTTCATTTAAACAACAAAAACCCCCCATTCGAGTGCGTGTGTGGTGCTAGGATTCTGTCCTAGACCTTGCCAATTGTTAGTTAGTTTGTTTCTTTGTTTTCAGTTTTTCCATCATTCTAAGTAGTTTAACTTGCAACCAAGTTACCATTCTCCGTGGGATCGACCTCGTATTTACATAAGCTATACTATAAACGGTTCGTGCACTTGTGAGAATTAAAGTTGCTACTTTTAATAACTCATTTTAGTTGTTAAGAAAAGGCTCAACAGCCACCGGTCCTCTCCATTTTGTCTCTCCACACGGCTAGGACCACCCGGTTCTCACCATAAAGAAAACTACGTACCCTTTTTTAGCTATTGTTTCACCTAAATTCAATCGAACTAACTTAGGCATTGAAGGGTCTTTGGCCAACACCCCCTAGGTGTGGTCTATTTACTCCGGTCTTTTTCACAGGAATCGAGCAAGAGAGAGAATGAAATTCTAGAGACGAAGGATCTTCAAGCGGATATTCTCTCGTGAGAATATTTGCACAAACAACATTCTCACTAGACAAGCAGTTAACAAGACAATAGGCAAATTGAAGTTGAAAAAATAACTGAAATTTCCCTAAGCAAGCTGACCAACCGGCCAAGTTCAACAAAAAGAAGATGGTCAAACAAGACCAATTATTCTAAACGAGAAAGCAGACTACAAAAGCTGAAAAGAAATAAATGAGTCTTCATATACTTTGACACACCAGCAGGAGATCCCTAATCTACAGCCTCTTCGGCGTCCGCTTGATCAATCGCGCTCTCAATAGCTCCACATGCTTGATTTGCGACTTCCGCCACTACCTCATCTGTTGCATCCTCCTCTGCTTCATCCTCTTCAGCTACCGCCTCTTTGGCCGCCTGCTCAGCTCATTCCATGTTCACAGCATTAACCTACTCACTTTGCATAGGGAGAAAGTCAGAACAGAGCTTCCCGATGTCTCCATCTCCAATAGCATAGAAGGGATCATTTCCATTTGACCTTGTAAGCAGGTCAAATTATTTGCTCCCTTGTTTCTTTACTCTCAAGGATCTTGACGAGTTCATCCAAGCACCACTTCGAAGATGCATAGTTTTCGGAGAACACGATGATGGAAATCTTCGACTCTTCGATCGCTCTGAGAAGGGCCGGTGATATTTCTTCCCCTCTCTTAAGACCATCATCTATGAAGGTTCTAATTCCCTTCCGAGTCAAATTACTGTGCAGATGATCAATAAAGTTGAATCGCATGCCCTCGCCTCTGAAACTCAGGAAGACATCGTATGTCATTGAATGACCGTCGTTTGATTGCGTGCCGGAGAAGTAAACAGGCTGATCAAAGAGCTGGGAAGGGCATAGCCTCTGGGTTTCTTTTCTTTTAATAAGAAAACATCTTATGAGCGAGGGAAGCTGCGAGGAAGTTAGCTGCGAGTTTTAACCTCCTTTGTGAGAACACTGCGAAGTCGATGAAGGTGAAGGGAAGACGAGGAAAGGAAAGGAAACAAAGAAAGAGGAAGGGCCAGTGTTCTTTCGTTGAAACTTCAAACGTATTTTCCAGTCCAATTATGGGTAGTGGAAAAATCCAAAACGACAAAAGCTCATACGCGTAGTAGTCGGCGTGTTTCAGTGTTGTCCTAACGGACTAAGACATAATCACACACATAACACAAGTGTTTGAGTGGTTCACCCCTAATGGGGCTACATCCACTATAGTTTATAGCTTTGTATTTGTATTTGAATTTGAATATGGAGATTGCATTGTACATGAGAGAGCTATGGGAAGAGAGGCATGAGAGCTCTAATAAAAGAGAAATAGAAAGCTTGTGAGAGCTTTAGATAGCTCTTGGAGAAGTGAAGAAGTAGCAGCCGATGGTTTCCTTGCTTGGAGGTGATGAGCTCTCTTTTATAGTCCAAATTAGAGTATACAAGGTTGATTGATGGCTGGGACCTTTGCATGGCTAGCTACTCCTTGTTTGGTGGGATGTGACTTATGACAAGAAGGGCTATCCCTTAATTGGTGGGATCTACTTAAGGGGGGAGGTGAGGTCAATAGAAGCCTCCTAGTTTGCAATCGAAAAGAGCTTCTTGGTTGGGGACTTTCAAGTAAAACCAGTATTTGGCCGAGCCAAACACATATCTGCTGGAGGTGGTGAGGCCGAGCCGATCACATGTGTAGAGATAATAAGGCCGAGCCGAGCCGAGCCTTAATTGGTAGGGTTTGCTTAAGGGGGAAGGTGAGGTCAACATGGTGCCAACAATACTAAACAGTGAATGAATATAGCAATTCTGTGTGTATTTGCAAGCACAAATAACTGACATTGGGACCAAAATATATATATGGTTTCTCAAACCAGAACTTTTCATATTATCTTTATTTATACACAAACTAACTTGGACGGACTCACAGGGATCCGAATCCAGAGTCTTTGTGGGTAGCACCTGCCCACTATCAGCAATCACATCTTTGGGAAATTGTGGTAAAAAGGTTTTCTCCAGTAGTTTCCGGCTTTCGACATTGCTGTCATACCCTTGCTTCCTTTGCTTCACTGTACAGTTTATCAATACGGTCCTACAGATGATATTCCAAAAAATAAAAACTTAACATTCACTTGACGAAGTCAGCTTTTACTATTTGAGAGAGAGAGAGAGAGAGAGAGATTTATATATAGAATGAGGGAGACCCGTTTATGGCATAGCACTTGATCATTAGCAATAGAAATTCATTTCTTTTAAGAAATAATCCAAGGTCATAGCCGCAAGGGTAAGAGCAAGGGCAAGGGCAAGGGCAAATACTAATTACTTTACTTTATTTTATATAATTTTTTATACTTAACCATTAATTTTGATAAGTTTTTCAGATAATATTTTCGGTTGCTTTGTATCACTATTTATTATAAAATTCTCACCTAAAATTTCAAATAACATTTTCGAATAAAATTTTTGAATAAAATTTTCGAATAAGATTTTCGGTTGCCATGTGTCCATCAAATTTGGTATGAAAAGTGAATAAAATGGTTATGTATTTATAGGGAAAAAATCCAGAATTTTTTTGTTTTTTTATTAAAAAAAATTCGACTCGCTGACATCAGCGTGACATCACGCATGACGTCAGCCACTTCAGGCTAGCAAAACATTCTAACATGCACAGTGGTGACATCTTGACTAGCCAAAAGACTGACCATCAAGCAAGTAAATTATTTCATTCAACTGTATGGCTAACTATTGTAAGAATTTTTACCAGTATGAAACCATCCATCAATAAGGACTTCCTCTGTCAGATCTTGTCGCTTGTGGTAACCAGAAAACAAGGATTTTCCTCTCAGGCAAATCTCTCCACGTGGCACACTGGAAAGTGCATCATATCCCATTTCTGGCACTGACTCAAGCCTTGTTTCAATAGTTGTCATGGAGACACCCACAGTTCCCATCATAGGAAAAACATTGCCAATAGACGTAAGACATCCACCACAGCTTTCAGTGAGGCCTACATGTCAAATAGCTTAACAAGCTGATGGAAAGCTCTTTTTTCAAGGAAAACTTTTATAAACTACTGTTGATGTGTTGTGCATCAAAATTTAAAAAGCTCGCGTCACTGACTAGAAAATCTTGCATACATACATCCTAGATCATGCATATATAGTTGTAATGATAAGTAAATATCTTATAACAATTAATACCAGCTTCTTCAGAGATGAAAATGAATTCATACTAGGTCAAGTCCGCATCACATTGTGTTTTCTTTTTTCTTGGCCAAATATAACTCCAAACCTATGAAGATTACCTAACACCATTTATATGATTCTATATATTTCCTAGATGACTTAGCAGATATTCATCCAACCATACCATATCCTTGTGACAAAGTACTGCAGGCGGTGACCCTCAAAAATTCCTGCACATGCCTAGGCAAAGGTGCAGCACCAGACAACAGTATATGAACTCGTCCCCCTAATGCTTGTTTTATCTGCCACAAGTAACACTTCGTTAGAATGTAAAACAGCTATTTCAAGAATGGAATGGTGAAGGGTGGGATGACTGACCTTGTCAAAGACAAGCTTGTCCAAGAGAGGTGCTGCGTTTTCTTGTGGCAGACCCTTCTCCAGATTTGCCAACTTGCTGTCAATTAAATCTTCATTAGTTTTATTGTAGAGATGCAAATGCAAACACAAATATTTCCATTTTATCGTCACTCATACTAGTTATAAGCATATTGGAACAGCATCTTCCTCAA